CCTTCCAACCTAAAGGATTCTATGTTGGTGGTGAAGAAGGTAAAAGGCTGTTTTTGTGGGGAGGAGTGGGCAGGACAGGTGACCCTAAACAGGCCAACAAGTTATTCCGTAGTATTGTCATGTTTGGTATAAAGCTGAGGGATCACGAGGGTTATTCTCTTTTCCAACGACTGGCATCTGAGGGGGACTCCATCTGCTCTGTCTGCAGTCCCAGTCCATGCATTCCTGAATCCAGTCCCTCAATCCAGTTCCTGTCTGCTGCTGAGTGTAGCCTGAGACTTGCTCAGTGCCTGCTTCTCAGCATCAGTTCTGACTGATGTAATTGCCATCAGGGAGGTTGGATTTGTTATTGGCTTTGTATATACTTGTATATTTTTCATTTTATTGTTTTTCTTATTACAGCTGTTTTAGTTTCTGAATCCTTAAGTCTCTCCCTTATTCCCTTTCTCTTCCATTTTGGGAAGGGAGAGGGGTTAATGGGGAGCACCTGTCATTTGTCTACTGGCCTGCCCATCCCTAGCCTGTGACAGTACTTCTCATATTGGAGACTTTAATCTCATTAAGTAAGCTTTCTCCTTCCTACCTATCATTGCTTTTCTGAGTTGTGGACTCACTTGCTTTATCTGCAGATAGACTTTCTCACGGAATCCAGACTACAGTGGAAGAGTTACGAGTTCTGTAGTTGCTACAAAAAGTATTTTTTAATTCTCTCCTAAAGCTGCCTTAATTCAAATTTTGGTCTTCTGTTTATTCTAATAAATGAAAAAGTCTGAAAACTGAAACACATGTCACAGGATACTAGGAACAGGAATGTGAATGAAGGCTGTCTTGATTGTCCCCTGTGCCACCTCACTTTCAGGTGTGTCAGTCTCTGTGGCAGAAGCAGGTTTTAGGTCCATGAAGGAGAACAGAGCAGCAGAGGTTCAGCCCTGTACTGATACAGACTGACTGACAAGGAAGTACTGGGGTGTGTATACACTTTGAGCAGCTACACACTTCTCTGTGGGGGGGCCTGTTAGAGCAGAGCAGTGATGGTACAAAAGGGACCTTTATTCCAGCAGATGGACCCTGGTAACTGAATCTGCAGCCTCAACGTGCTGCTGCTCAGCTCATCCGTCTCTCACTTGTGATGCTGCTGGGCCTTGACCAGCCTTTGTGCTTAGTGAGGTCTGCATTCACACAGGTTAGAGATGCCCTGCCAAAAACGTATTTAAGTGTCCAGTCTTCACTGGTATTGTGTGCAGCATGCAGAATCATCAGTCATGTTTTACTTTGTTGGAACAGTCTCTTTCACTGAAGAGATTAGGATCTAGTAACCTAGGGAACAATTAGCTGCCTTTTATTACTAGCTTTCTTCACTTCTAAGGTAGTTTTCTTTCTTGTTTGATACTGCGTTAATGTTTTATTTCCTGGATCTTTGTGTTACCCTAGGTAGTTGAATGATTAACTCAGTTTTAGGAAGCAAAACCAAGCAGGAACAGATTGATGTGAATCGATTTCTTCCTGGTTTTTGAAAAATAAACTGCAATAATGGTGGTAATTAGCAAATAAATACATATTTTTCTGCTCTTGTGAGTGTAGAGATGTCTGGAGGAAGATTGCTTAATGTTAGAGCATTATTTAACTGAAGATAATTATTTGTGTATGCACATTATAGCTGTGCTGTTCAATCTGTCATTCTTTATGCCTTCTCACTTTCAGCTGTTAGTACACAAGGTAACTATGTGCTGCTGCGTAATTTTCTGCTGTATGCTAACTAGTTTTTGTGAATTGAAAGTTTAAATGTTTTAAACTTTGCTGGAATTATCTGTTTAGTATTAGTTACGGTCTCAAAATGCAGCTGTTCTCTGGTAGGACTGATAATGCCAACAATTTGCACAGTGAAAAGCTATTAATATTTAATTCAAATTTCTGATTTTTATAGCTATCTATTCTGCAAAATGAGAGTTCATGTCTTATTTGCTACATTTCCCACTAGACTTCTCACTATAAAAAGCCTTGAAGTAGCCTGATATCATCAAAGCCACTAAATATTGGTGTTATAGCATGCTTTCCTGTTTAGATTAGAGCCTTAACTGAGTTTTTCATAAGGATCACAGGCCAGAAATCCTGCATGCAGTATCTTGATTTGTTTTCATGTTTTATGTTTATCACCTGCCAGCAACATTGCTATGTGAATTAAATTTTTGCCATTAACAATGTGAAGGGAAGGACCTTATTCCTGATCTTTAGTTAGAGTTGTACCTTGAAATGTGTGGGAAAGCTTAAAAGCATGAAGAAGTGTATTTTACCTTCCTGCCGTTTAAATCTATCTCAGTTACTAGTCTGACACGGAGCACTCCTTTAAAAACAGACTACATTGTGTTTAAGTGTTACTACTGAAATAGGCCTGAAATCTTCAGAATAAAGTTCAAGGCATGGTAATTCAAAGACAAAGTCCCATGCTTTAGGAAATTTGTGTTCATTTTGCAGTTTAGCAACTACATTTTAATAAAGACCAATATTCCAAGCCTTTTCAGGTGCAACAGGCATGCAGATTATTTTCCTGCAGAACAGCAAGCTTGTCCTGGCTGTAGTCTGACGTATGCAGCTGCACTTTATCCAGCTGTGTGTGTATGGTGAGATCAGTGTTGCTAGTAATGTTGCACTTGAATTTAGACAAAGGTAAAAAGCAAAGTTGAATTGGGTGATATTGCTAGTAAGAAGTCAATATATGAAGGTGTTCCCAAAGGAATGTGCGAGGACTGTCATTTTTTTGCTTTTAATAGATCTGTGCCTCTCTTTTAGGTTGCTGTTAACTTCAGTGTTATAGCATCAAAGAGAAATGGTTCTTTGTTCTCAGGCTGTTGTATTAGGTGGTAAAGTGAAGCATCCTTCATCTTGATGTCCAAAGAGGTTGATACTGTTAGAATGATCTGTGTGTTTTCTTGCTTGAAGCTGGTGGATATAAGCAACAAATAGCATTTGACACTTCTCAATCATATAAAGGACTATGCCCATGACTAATTTTATTAAGAAACCAGTTAGCTCCCACTGTAAATTTCAGCCTTTGTTTGCAGCAGTGTTACCACTTGAGCTACATGATGAAGTCACCTCCTTCCGAAGGTGGGAAGAGTTTTGAAATAGTGTTTACGTGTCCATTTTGTCTACCTCCTTATGCAAGATATTCTAAGGCTGAGTTTTTTAATGCTTTCTCTAGTAAGACTCTGAAACTTCTTTGTGGTGATTTCAGTCTCTCTTGAGACCTCAAGTCATTATAATTTTTAGGATGTTTATTATGCCACTCCACATAAAAAGTGCTTAATACCCTTGCTTTCAAAATGGTTCTTGCCTTATCTAAAATCTTCCTCCTAGTCCTTGTAAATTCAACAATCTTTTAATCACAGCCCCCAGCCTCCTTCATGTTTAGCAGCAAGCAGTAAGGAATAAAAAAGCATAAGTTTCCTCATGATATTTCCGAATTTGAGTCCAGTGTCCTAGGTCTGCTTTTTCAGGCAGTGCCTTGAATCTTTGTAGTGCTATAAAGTATTTCTTTGATAGTGCATTTGCATTCCTTAAACATGTTTCAGATTTTGATTATAATCTGGAGATATGCCACTGATTTATTTAAGTTCAGAATGGCTAAACCAAATTGTTTAGCTGAGGTTTGTTCTTACTTAGCTAACCAAGAGTGTAAACTGATGTGATTATACTCAAGGGTGCTGGCATGCACTGCACTGGTGCTCTTCAGTTTTTCTCAAGCTTTTTGCTTCTTCTATGAAGCAGATACCCTAGAAACAAAAAAAATAATAGTGGTCTTAAAAATGTAAACTGTTGACATAATGTGCGTGGTTATGTAGAGGTGAATGGACCTTATAAATAAGCAAAACAAAACAAAAAACACGGGGAGTTCTTTTTTGAAAGGCTGCTCTTTAAAACTGTGCACAGCTGCATGAGTTGGAGATGAGTAACAATTAATGCCTTGCTCGCTATGGGGGTTTTGGAAGTGAATTTCTTTGAGGAATACTTTTAAATGAGGAAAGAGATTCGGATACCTTCTGTTCATATCAAATCCAGAAATCTGGCAGTGTGGCCATCTGGGCAAAGTAGTAACATACCAGAATTACATAATTAAAAATGTAATGTTTAAACAAATGGTCTTTGTTTTAAGCATTATGATGTCCTCCATTAAAGATTTTAATACATCCTCATTAGGCTTTCAAACTGATACCTACAATGAATATTTGTCAGTAAGAGCAGAGTTAATGAGTTAAACATTGAAGGCATCTGTACAGAAGCCCTAGAGATTTTATTGCAACTGATGTAAATGAGTAACTGTTCAAATACAACGTCTGCTCTGAAAATCTTGAAGTGTGAGGTAGAAAGTCTCACATGGAAGATATCAAATATTATTCATGGTGGGTGTAGCCTGAGGGACCTGGGTTTTAGACTTACGGGTTGAATGGTTCTGTTTCCCAGTACTAACTTCAATGTGTTCTATTTCAGTTATGCAAAAGGAGACTTGGATATATCATACATCACTTCCAGAATTGCTGGTATGATCACTGTGTCTGTGTTAAGAATAATTTCTGATTTTTCTAATACATGAAAAAAAGAATACTTCACCTGGTGTTTGTTGTTCTGTCTTCAGTGATGTCCTTTCCAGCTGAAGGTGTAGAATCTGCTATCAAAAATAACATAGAAGATGTACGGTTATGTCTGGACTCCAAGCATCCTGGCCACTATGCTGTGTACAATCTCTCCCCAAGAACATACAGGCCTTCGAGATTCCATAATAGAGTGTGTATAGTTTTCCTTTATTTCTGTAAAAGGTCCTTCAGTGCCATGTCTTAATTCTACCTTTAGCTTTTTATTGTGAAATATGAAATATAATCAAAAGATACAAAAGTATAAACATAAGGTTAAAGGGTTACTTTCATTCTGCATGTCTTTGTTTTCAATCCAAACTTAACTGATAAAAGACTGATCTTTAATCTTACTGACTGAAGTCTGTTTCCTAGACTAGTGAAGTGATATGTTTGAGAACCTGTACAGGCACCTTACATGTTTCAGATTTATATGGACAATACTAAGCATAACTAAAAATCTTTTAAAAATTCAGAAATTTTCCTTTATCAGAGGCAGTACTTCGTTGGTGACTGATTTGCACAACCTGTTTACTGGACTTTCTCTTTGTCCCACTGTGTATGCTTTGGCTCCTGTATTGCTCAGACCTAGCTGACTGTTTGTTGCTACTGTCTTAAACATGGGTAGAGCTTACCTGAGCCTCTGCGAGCCTTTCTGGCTATTTCTCTGATACTAAGATGAAGACATATGCCTAATAACAAGATAGTGAGGACAGCTTGTTAGGTGTTGAGATACTAGACCACAGTGTCTGCTTCTAAATATGGTTCAGCTGTCCTGTAAGTAGCTTAAAAATGGAGACTGTTAGGGTGTTGAGTTGACTGGCAGTGGCTATATTAGACCTCAACTAAGGAGTCTGTAGTGATCATGCCCTTTCCTGACATTACTGACTGCCCAGAGAGTCTGGAAGCACTACTTGCTGCAGGAAACCCCTTTTGGGCCTTATCCTGTGGAGCCATTCTCAGTATTACTTCATTTATCCAAATTCAGTTACACTGTCAGGCTGAGGTGTGTTCAATATATTCTGTTCAGTGCTTGTCACTTTCTTCCTTTTCACTGAGAACCTGTAAACAACATGAAATATTGTCACACTTATAAAAAAAAAAAATACTGCCTCCTTGAGGAAGCAATCAACTTCGTTATCTGCAACTGTCTTTACCTACAACTCTGCATCTGGTTCAGTATGAGGTTCAGGCAGAGGCTGTTTGACATGGAAGGCAAAGCTTAATCATGCAAGAAGCCTCCTGCATGATTATTTGGAGCAGGTACCTCAGAGAAAGTTCTTCAGCAATGCTTTTTAGTGCTAGATTGCTGGAAAGTCTGCTGAGGCTGACATAAGACTCATTTATTCCTCATCCTACAAAGCTATCAGTCTGAGTTTATGGAATGATAAATTCCCTGGGGATTATTTTGGGTTGTGGAAGTCTGAGGTGCCTATCCAGTGACATTCCTATATGTGTTGCTGTTGTGAATGGTAACATAAGCCCAGCTAAAATCTACCAGTGTTTTGGAACTCTTCTGGTCTACATTTATCTTTTTGATACTAATTTTATCCCGTGGTCTTTGTTTTGCTGGGAAGAAATAGACCATAACTTGTCAAAACAATATAGAATCCTGCCTCCTTTATTGACTGGGAATATTTAGGAATTTTCTAGGAAACATTGTCATCTGTGTAAGAACAAAAAATTTTACTTGGAAGACAAAATCTTGAAATATATTGGTTTGTTTTTTTTTTTTCTGTCCTTTGAAACCCAGATGCATAATGAGTAACACTGACAGACTTAAATTCATTATTCAGTGCCGGGTGAGAGCGCCCACATGAGATGCTAAGGAAGCTTAGTTTTTTTTTAATGCCTGCCAAAGATTATTGTGCCAAGCCTTAAACTTGGTCAGGGGAAAACAGCTCCTGAAATTCTTAATTTTAACACTTTGCTTAGTAGCTGTTTATGAAATCATATATCCTTGCTTTCTGGCTGCACGCGATCTGTATGGATCTTTTGCAAATTTCTTTAACCTTAATTAAAGTTAATGGTAGTTTTGAAGTGTTCTCTGCTAGTTTTGAGTCCTGCTTGGAACAGGCTGTGCAGGCTCAATCATTCTGCTAACAATCAGAACAGCTTAAAACATAGCCGAAGGGAAAGAAGGTGATGTGTGGTATACATCTTGTACCAAAACTAGTGTTTGAGCACAAAGTAAATGGTAAATTGGAAGAAAACTCTCTTCTGTTTGCTGTTTTGAATACACTTGCTTTTCTAGACTGTTTTCAGGTTTGTAGCTGTAATGCTGCAACATGATTCTTCCACTGCTATGGTATTATTTGAGTGTGGTGAGACTCTGGAACAGGTTGCCCAGGGAAGTTGTGGGTGTTCCACCACTGTATGTGTTCAAGACCAGGTTGGATGGGGCTTTGTACAACCTGGTGCAGTAGGAGCTGGCCCTGTCCATGGCAGGGGGTGTTGGAACTCGGTGATCTTTTAAGGTTCCTTCCAACCCAAACCATTTTGCGATGCTATACTTGCCTTTGCTTTTGTTTATTCAATGGCGACTTTGCAGAAGCTTTCACTAACAAAAGAACACTCAATTTAAATCTCTCACATAGCAACACTTTCTGAAACTGACCTGTTTTAAATTAAAATACTAGAATACAGTGCAAAGCTGTAGGAGACTTTATACATCAGACAGTTTCTGTCAGCCTTTTTTTCTGAGCTTTCCACAAAAACCATCTCATGGAGAATTTTTGGATATACTCTGTCAGATTAGGTAATTCATCTCAGAATAACCCTTGAGCTCTTTTATCTGGGTTGGAAAACATGTTACTGATAGCGAAACTTGGTGTTCCACACTGGGCAATTGTGGTCCTGGGTAAAAAACAGGAAAAACTTGCTTTGCAAGTTGTCTTTTCTCTTGGCAGAGTATCTACTGTTCAGGTGTTGCAAGTGCTCAGGGATCAGGTTTCATATACTGCATTCTTACTGGACAGCTGATTTTAAGAGTGTAAGACTCTCAGTAGTGAAGCTGGTAACTTGGTAGTGTTTTGTGGCATTAAGTCAAAAGGAATGTTACTTAACGGGGGAGGCCCTTTGAATAAAGAATAAACATAAAATCGAACCAGGTCTTTCTGTGTTTTTGTAAGAATATGTGCACAAATGCAGATGAAAGCTTTATTCCTTGCTCTGAGAACATTTCAGACAGTAGTTGGAGTTGCTGGTACTTCTAGTGCAGTGAACTGTAGAGAAGACTGGAGTTTTATTACACTTCGTCCTATAAAGTGGTGTTTACGCTGCATGAGATTGCTTTTACTGAGCATCTTCCTTAAGTTCTACCTGAAGGTGGCACTGAAGTGTAAAATTGCCTATAATATATACAGTTTATAGAATGCAAATGTATGTGACCGTTTAAGCTCATTTCTCGCTTCACCTGTCTCTTTTATTGCAGGTTTCTGAATGCGGCTGGCCAGCTAGACGAGCCCCAAATCTTCAGAATCTTTACAGCATATGCAAGAATATGCATTTATGGCTGAAACAAGACCAGAAAAACGTTTGCATTGTGCATTGCCTTGTAAGAAATTTGGTTAAGTCTGAAGTTCTTTCCTCAATCCAGCTTTAAGTTGTGAATAAGGATGCTAATATTCACCTACTTTGTGAATATACTGGCTTTCTTCACTGTGACACTTGGGAGAAGCTCTACTGTTTTAGTGTTTGTTCTATTTTTTGTTCATGTTTTCTGAGTGACAGTGGGATGCACACCTCATTTTCCACTGCTCTCCATTTAAAATTTAATTTGCATTTAAAATGTAATTTCCTGCGCATTACAGAAGATAAACATGACAGTTGTTAAAGTTCTTATGATGCTGCTGGAAGGCATTCAAAACCTGTTTTTTGATGAGGCATAGTAGCCTAAAAAAGATTTATTAATCTGGCAGAGTGTACTTATTTGAACAGAGTTTTCCAAGGAAAAAAATCAGTTAATGCTAGCCCCTGAAAAAAAATTACATTTTCAATGTTCATGTGAGGTAAGGAATCTAATTATGTATTACTGTGATACTTACTGTCTCAGTATCATATGATTGCTAGTCAAATAGCTAAGAAGCAGATGTGATGAATTAGCACCAGTTTTTGTAATATTTTTCTCCTTAAGTGTTTCCTTTAAGGTACCTAATTCCTTTTCCTTAGGTGTGAAGGAATGTTTTATATATATTTGGTTGCGTGCCAGTTACAATATGAAAAACATCCATCAGAACTACTAGAAATAAGTGATAGCTGCAATATGTGTCTTGGACTCACCTAGATGGAAGTTTTTGTAGCTTTAGAAGCTAGGAAACTTAGTTTGGAAATTAATGCCTTGTCTGGTAGAGGTATAATGGTTTAGTCTAATACACTTTCTTGGGTAACAAAGTGTGAGAAATGCTTGTTGTAAAGTTGAAACTGCAACTAGGTGGCTGGGATTCAGAACCAGGTAGAGCTTCCTGGTCTCTTAATTTTTTTTCTGTAGCAGTTTGAAATAATGCAGTGTATTGTTAAATTTTTGTATTGTAATTTGAGTGGTCCAGAACAAACAGTTGAGAAGAAGGTAAATGGGAGTAATATTGATTTGCTGAACTGCCCTTCAAAGGTCTGGCTCTGATGGTGCTGGCAGACCTGTTAATTGATCTAAGTAATGGTTAGGATAGAAACCTGCCTTTGAAAGAAAAGCCTGTTAAAATAACTCGAGGAAGAATATTTCCTTTTTCTCCATTTTCACACTCATATACCAAATGACTGTAAAAAACCCTGTTCCATATTGCTAGCAAAAAACCCTGAGAGATCCTGTTCTGTCAAGCATTACCTCTTCTGAATCTTCTGTCTTTTATAACACAGGAGTGAATCCAGGATGTGTGTAGCTGTGGTCCCTGCAGAAAGAGAATCAATGTTTTAACTTCCTTCTTAGTTTTATGGCAAGCTGTTAATCTCGGGTAGTTTTAGTCAGAAGACTGAAGAGTTTAGTATGGCTTCTGAATCTTAGGACTTTTCTTGTAGTAGAAGTCTATGGTTACCAGCCAAAAATAGCATTGCACTTAAATTTCAGGGAACCAACTTAGAAGTGTGTATTAGTGATAGTAAGGTAATAAAAGTCAGTTGAAAATTTCAGGCAGCGTTAGGCTAAAGCAGTTATTCATGTCTGAGCAAGCAGATATGTAGTGTCTTTTGTGTTGTGTGGAAATCAAAGCAATTCACATCCAGATGCAAACTTCAGATCTAATGGTTGCACTGGACCTTGGACATCACAACATTAAAAGAAGACATAGCATGTTCTTCAGTAACTTCTGTATTGCTTTTTCAACTAGGTTTAATAACCAAGTCATTTCTCTTTTGTAGGATGGAAGGGCAGCATCTGCTGTTGTGGTTTGTTCTTTTCTGTGTTTCTGTCGCCTCTTCACTACTGCTGAGGCTGCAGTTTACATGTTCAGTATGAAACGATGTCCTCCTGGCATTTGGCCTTCTCATAAAAGGTAACAGGATCAGTCTGAAGGGTACTGCTGAGGAAAGTAGTTATGCAGTTGTGAATATGCTACTTTTTTTTAGGATGCTTTTTAGGAAGATAAATTATTTCAGTAGTGTCACGTTTGACCAGCAAAATACTTGGAAAAACAGATGTATCATGAGTAGGGGAGGTAGTTCTGAATTTTGTGAGTTCTGGAGTTACTCATGTTCTTATCAAAAGAGAATCAAGTATGACCTGTACTGAAGAAATGTTAGGAATTAAGTCAAGGGTATGAAGGGCTTCTGAATGCTCTCTTAAGTATAAAATCCTCTTCCACATGTGTAAGACTTATTCAGTGTTTACTAGTTTATTATAATAGGTTTTACTGTGTCAGTAAAAGTTCTGTGGAAAGACCAATAATTTCTGGCAGTCTTCTCTGTTTAGGTAAGAGAGCCTTCTGCTTTTTAATGGAGTGCATGCAGAGCTGACTTTCATATACTTTGACAAATGCTTTGAACTGGTTATTTGATTTAATTTTATAGATATTATAACCATAAAGTCTCAGTAACTGTTGACACGACTAGGAAGGGTGTTTCCTATAAAAAGGGTTAGATGTAGGAAGGTGAGAAATAAGAATTAGTTAAGCATAAATGATAGATTTAATTTGAGTTTATTTAATGGGTCCTCTACAGAATAACATTAATAGGATAAATATAAAGCCCTTAGGAAGCTTTTACTTGCTAGCTTCAGAACTGCTGTTCAGCTTTGGTCCTTTATGTGTAAGATAGAAAATAAAGAATTTTCAGAGTCTGGTGTTTTAAGGACTTCGGAAACAGTAGCTAGTTTGCTTTACAAGTGAATATGTGTAAAGCAAGAGACATAAGACAATGTCTGGAAAGTGCAGATGAGTTCGTATACAGTGCTGTATTCAATTTTCTGGACAATCTAGTTTTTCTGTTGTGATGTAGCTATCAGGCTTTTGTATGGAAAGTGTTGCTCTCCTTAAGTTGAGAGACTGGCTAAGGTCATAAGTATTTCTCCCTATCTCTATTTAATTTTCCTTTTGTGAAATTATATCAGATTTGAGAATCTGTTTGCTGGGAGTGTTAAGTCTTCCCAGTGTTTTACTGTTAATTGCTTGTCACTGCTCAGTGGCTGGATGTGAACGCAAGTAACACACCTGTGTGATCACCTGCTTTTAGAATGTGGTTCTCTGGCTAAAAGAGTACCTTTTGATTTTGGCAGGTATATTGAATACATGTGTGACATGATGGCTGAAGAACCCATTATTCCTCACAGCAAGCCTATCCTTGTGAGATCGATCATCATGACTCCAGTTCCTCTTTTCAGTAAGCAGCGAAATGGCTGCAGGCCTTTTTGTGAGGTTTATGTGGGAGATGAGAGGGTAACCACTACCTCCCAGGAATATGACAAAATGAAGTAAGTACAAGTTATGATTTGCTCTGAAACAGCATGTTATATTTTTCTAGACTAACTTAAATATGAAGTCCTTACTGTGAGGAGAAAGCGTGATTTTGCATATGCCAGTTGACCAGAAAGCTTATTTAACGTGTGGAACAGGTCCTCTGTCTGTTTAGCTGATCTTGAAACGTAAATCATGGTGAAGAGATAACACGGTTATACTAGCAGCTTGGATCTATTCCTGTGGAAAGTGGGGATGATGGTGGGGTGGCACAGGGGGCACTGGGAGTCGGGGGTGTGCAAGACCCTCTTTCCTGTCACTCCATGTGATGTGAACTAGGAAGACTTGATTTCCTGGTGTATGTGGACTGGACTGAACATCACGTCTGAGTCATGGAAACAGTAAGGGTTCCCCAGGCACATGAGATCTAGGGGGAGTACTTACTAGCCCCTGTACAGCTCTGGTGTCTGCTGTTGCAGTACAGCAGAGGAATCGCAAATGGCTCTAGTAGTATTGCATGTAGATAGTCACGGGCAGGGGAACAATGAGAGACTACCCAAGTCCTTGGTTTCCTATAAATCCAAGCCCCTTAAGGAATGTAATGAAGAGCAGCAACAGAAACAGCTGTAGGGTGTTATAATAGTGTTTCCCCCTCTTTCCTTATTGCTGTCCCTCAGTGGGGGTCCTAACATACTGCAGCAGTGCAGCTGCAGTTTCTCTCTGCACTTCTTTTTTGAAGCAGCTGTCTTCATAATATCCTGTCTCTTGCATTTCTCATCTGCTCCTTGAAGACCTATTTCTGCCATAGTTCATTTGAGGATTATAGGTCTGGATGTGACTGCTGTAGTCAACTGTTAATCTTGAGGTTTTTGAGCAGCTTTTATGTTTTATCATTTAGAGTTAATTTCTTCTCCATAATAAGAACTTGAAAAAGACTTTTATAGGTTGATACTGAAGGGCAGGGAGAAACCTAACTAAGCATAAGGTAATGCACTTTAAAAAAAAAAAAAAAAAAAAGAAAAATATTAAACTGTTGGGTTTTTTTCTTCAGGGAGTTTAAAATCGAAGATGGGAAAGCAGTCATTCCACTAGGTATAACAGTCCAGGGAGATGTTCTTATTGTGATCTATCATGCCAGGTCAACACTAGGAGGCCGACTACAAGCCAAGGTAATGATAAACTCAACAGCCTACATGAACTATTTCCCTTCTGTTCCTGCAATTTTCATACTTATATTTGTGATCTTAAGTACAAGGCTTTATTTGTTGTTCTTTCTTCAAAGAAATGTGTGAGGTTTTCATGTACTTGAGAATTCAGCCTTTTCAAGCCTAGTAAGTATGTCCATTCTTAGTGCTCTGCATGTAGATGCTTTAGTAAGCATTTCTGGACAGTAGTGATAGTTATATTTGCAGAAAACCTCTAGCTAGTTTTGAGGCACTGACTCAAAGTTAAGTTGCACAAAAAGCTAGAACTTCTAAAATCTGTACCCACAAACTGCAACCAAGGGAAAAATACCACCCAACAGAAAGGTTTTTTTAAAATTCTATTATATAGATGCAAGATCACAAAAAACTTTATAATGAAGCCTGTTCTCAAATTTCGAAAGAAGCAGCATGTGGGGTTTTATTTCAGATGAGTAACCCAAATTAAACCTGGAGATCCATGTAAAAAATAGGAAGTAATAGTGCAAAGTTCAGAATAACATGGAGTGTTGTGAAAATCCAGGGGTTCTTTAGGCAGTTTCCATACACTTGGACAAACAAGCATATTTTATATGTATCTGTCATTACTGAAGTGAATGGTTTTCCCCATTACTTTTTTCTTTATGGAGGAAGGTGAGTGTCAAATCTTGTCACGTTGCAGAGGTTCAGGACTTTCTTAGTGTTCCCAGAGAGCTATGGGCCAAATGTTCCAGAACAACTCGAAACTGGAAGCTCAGTGAAATGATTCTCTAATGTGCAAAAATACCTACTGTATGTTTCAAGGTCATCAGTGAAGAAGGCATGAAGCTGGGGAAAATTCAGCCAAGGTTAGGTTCTACACCTTGTGCAATCTTGGTTTTACAGTGGTTTCCCTGGCATTTATTCACTAACTGGAAAAGGTTAGAATTTTCTTATGAATCTGCTATACCACATGATTTACCACTGTGTTTGTGGTGATCCAAGATTGGAGCTTTGGTGGTACAATATTAAATATGTCCTTAGTTTTATATACTGTAAATTGCCCCCTGAAGCTCTCTGTAGAACTCTTACATCAACCATTTCCATATTGCTGTTAAGTGCCTAGACCTGGACATGACGAATGTCTGAACTTGCTCACAGTTAATTTGAGGGAGGATTTTGTTTATCTTCTAGGAAATGTCTTGCATAGCAAGGAAATAAGAAAACAGATTTAACAAGGTGTTCAGGTTTTCCCATTTAGTTCAGGGGAGGGATGGATGGATCAGAGAAACTCTTGAGTGTGTCCATGTTCCTCTTGTACTGAGGAGCCCAGCACTGGACACAGGACATCAGGTGCTGCCTTACCAAGTGCTAGATAGAGGGGAAAGATCACCTCCCTCAATCTGCTGCCAGTGCTTTACTTTGCCTCTGGTTACAATGTTCAGTAAATGCTCATTTGTAAGTAAAGGTTTTGTAATGCAACTTTATATCATTTACTGCACTGTTTCTGTATGTCGTCTTCTGTAAGGACTGAAAAGATTCTTCCGTGTGTGTTGTAATGAAAGCCAGGGAAGAAATGCATTGTGGATTTCTCAGTTTGCTGTAATTTTGATTTGTGCAAGACTAGGAGCTACATGAATCTTCTGTAGTAGCATATTCTGGACTCTTGCATGCTGATCTTGTATGGAAAGTAGTTTTTCTGTCAGCAGGAGAAAGAAGTAGGGAAGTGAAATGATTAAAATGATGCAGTTTGGAAAAGCTCTGCAATTCTGACTGGTATGAATGACTGACTTAAAGCTGCACAGGAAAAGAACTCTCTGCATAAGAGCAATAAGTACACTTAGGAAGTGTGCTTGTAAATATGCTACATTTTAAACTGTTCTGAATGGGCTTCTTTATATATGACATATATTTTTTGATTACTCTGTTGCACAAGGACTGTGTCTGAGTGTATGCTATTCAGAAAAATAAGCCTTACAGTTTCAGCCTCTAGAACAGGATCTGGAAATATTCAAGAGACTTTGATAGTTTGAGGTTAGTGATGAGACCTATCTGGTTCAAGATCTTTTGGGTTGTTTCTGGTAGTAATAGATCTAAGTTCTGTCTTAAACTACATTTAACTATCTCAAGGTAAAGCATGCATTAAATTGAAAAGGTAGCAAAACAAACACTTCAAAACATTTTAATACTGAAAATCTTTATATTATGTTAAGGGCAAACCACTGTGCATACTATTCAACCTCAAGTTGCACCAGAGGAGGCTTAGATTAGACGTTGAGAAAAATTTCTTTACTCAAATGGCTGTAAAGCACTGGAACAGGTTGCCCAAGGAGTTGGAGTCACCTGCCCTGGATGTATTTAAAAGACATGTAGATGTGGTGTTTAGGGACATGGTTTAGTGGTGACCTGTCAGTGCTGGGTTAACAGTTGGGCTTGATGATCTTAAAGGTATCTTCCAACTGAAACAATTATATGATTTATGCAGTTTCCCTGTATTTCTTGTTTTCAACAGATGGCTTCCATGAAGATGTTTCAGATTCAGTTCCACACAGGTTTTGTGCCCCGAAATGCCACCACGGTGAAGTTTGCCAAGTATGTTGACGTTCTGTTGTAGGAGACTGGAAGAAGTTTTCTCTGAAGCTGTTTAACCTGCGAAACCAGCATATGGTGGGGGGAGGAAATAAAGTCAGTGTAGGAAATAATCTTATTGCAATCAAAGTAACCTAACTTGGTTTTGTCACCTGAAGAAAAGTGAAGGTTTTGTTAATGATACAAAAAAAGCCCTTCTGTACCAAAATACCATCTGTTTAAAATATATGGAAAAAGTAAGCAAGTACAGCATGTTTTAAGCCTTATACTAGTTGTTTTAAAGTTTTGTCTTAGACTGCAGTGAATTTAGTCTAATCTGCCATCAGCATCAAGACTCTACTTGTATGCATCTTTGCAGGTATGATCTGGATGCCTGTGACATACAAGAAAAATATCCTGATTTATTTCAAGTAAATCTGGAAGTAGAGGTGGAACCCAGAGACAGACCTAGCTGTGAACAGCCACCGTGGGATAACATGAATATAAAGGGTCTGAATCCCAAGATCCTTTTCTCTACCCGAGAGGAACAACAAGAGATTTTATCAAAATTTGGTAATGCATTTCTTGAAAAACTAGAGAACATGATAAAGTTTCTAACGTACTTAGTGTGTGAGGCTTTTGTTCCATTTGTGTCATTCCTTTACATGAAAGAAATTTAAAAGAGGTGTTTTTGTAACTATTACCGAAAGTTTTGTGTTGTGTAAAGTAAATTATCCTTCAGTAATGGATATAATTATCCTTGTCTTACCTCCACGGTCATTACACTTGCTTGCTTTAAAACCATATGGCAAACGGAATTGTGACAGCTGGGGTTTATATGCAAAATGTCTTGTATTTGGCTAAATTGGCACCATTATCATTTAATTTAAAATATCTGAGCATCACAGACAGTCTTAACTAAACATGTTTTATTCGAGTTCCTGCTTCTGTATAGATAATGTTGTAACTCAATTTCTTAACTTTTCCTAATGTATTCCAGTAAACACTTAATATTTTTAATACTACATATTCTTTGCTTCATCTGTAGATGCCTGCATTAATTCCAGTTAATACTGTTCAGTATCTTTCTTCTCCTGGTATCAATAATGAGCTTTGAGATGTTCACTAAGGCTCTTAAGCCTTCTTTGTGCTTTCAGAACAACTAGCATAATGGAAATTATTGTGGTGGTTTTACTACACCAACCAAGATCTTACACTCTGCTCTTAATATGTTATATCATAATTACATTTCTTTTCACATAAGGTAGTTGCTGCTGTCTTTTTTTTTTTTTTTTAAGCAGGATAGGTTTGGTTTGTATTATGATTTTAGTAGTTTTCTGTTTTAAGAAACGTAAGGAATAATTAATTGCAGCATAGTGTATTGCTTAACTCCTTTGAACTGTTTAACAACTCCATGTTCTTCTCTGGCTCTATACTCTGGGTTTTTACTACTGCTGCATTTGCTCTTTTCTGATGTGCTATTCTGTATTGCAGAAGTTATTCATAGCTCTTGCATGTTTTAGAGGATTGTTGGTACAAGTGAGGTGTTAATTATATTTTTCCTACAAATGTAAACTGAATACTTGAATGCTTTGCTATGAGTCTGACTTAATTTAATGTTATAGTTGCAAATAGGTTCTTACCAGCTTTTGCACTGGACACAAAGTTAATAATGTTGATTTCCAATGAGGATTGGTGGTGGGAATTTGGCTTTGCAGAGTAATAGATATTTTGAGACACTTGTCTTGCTATAGGAGTCAGTCTGCAAGTCAGATACAAGCTACTATATCAGGACTGACTTTTTAGAAGTTTCTCTCTAAGGATTCTGGCCCAATTTATTTTATAGGGAAACCAGAACTGCCTAGACAACCAGGTTCAACTGCACAATACGAAGCAGAAGCATCCCAGCTGGAGCAGTCTTCAGAAAGTGCACCTACTGATACAGAATCCCCACACAGCAGTAGTACTGATGCAAATAACTTCTTTCACTCTCTGGACTGGAAAGGTACAGGTTATCCTTTGAAGGAACTATTTGCTGTATGTTTATACATACAACTGTATGTTGTATGTTCTGCGTTTGTTGTCTTCTACTGAGCACTTAAGCTTTATGCAATAAAAATCACTAGATCACCAGAAAAAGCTATTTAAAGAGTGAGCTCTGTAGATTTAACAGGTGGCCATTCTGTTTCATTTGGATAAACACCAAGTAATGGGTATTGTGTATAATTTAAATGCTGAACTAATTTTTAATTTTTCTGCAAAAATCGTAACCTTAAAGGTCTGCAAGGAAGCTTTTGCATTCCCAGAGCCCCAGTTAGGCTGGCTGATGAACAGAGCAAACAAAGTAGAGTAGCCAGTGAGGTCCAGATCAGCATGTATGGACTGAGAAAATTAAACTTTATAGTGCATATTAAGTCCTTTTTCTGGTTTCTACCTTGTTAGAAAAAAATGTCAGTAACTACTTATGCTGTTATTGAATGCTGTCATTGAAGCAGCAGTTACTGAGTGATCTTCTAAGCCATAAGTGGTACCATGTCCTGAGGTAAAAGTCCAAGTAAGTCCTATTTTGGAAAGATTTGTAATACCTGCCCTTGCAGAGTGGCAAGTATGGTAGTGAGCTGCCCCTGTGCCTGCCCTGTACAAGGAGGTGGTATACAACAGTTCTCTTTTTATCAATTCTTCTGTGAGCTTTGATTAATTAAGGGTTGATTTCATATGATCTCAGCATATAATCTGCTTTATCCTAGCTGTCAGAAGAATCCTGGTAATCTAAAACTGTTACTTCTTTTTATTCAAGAAGGAAAAAGTCCGGAAAGTGGAGTAGAGGACAGTTCATCTAAAAATGATCGTGTTCAACTATCTGATGACAGGGAGGAGAGTGATCCTTCAGATGAGGAATTCCCTACATTTCCAGGTGAAGAAAGCGCAAGTGTAGTAACTGTTGATGAAAAAGACACTATTACTCCAGAAGGAGAATTGCTTTTTGAAGCCAGTTTTGAAACTCCATCTGCACCATTGCAAACATCTCTACCTGAAGAGAATGTAGACTTACTGGGACTAGACTCCAATATTTCACCTGAGCAGAAACAACCCATCTCAGAAGTGAACTCCTTATCAAGCAATGCGGACTTGTTGAACAATCTATTTGTGGATAATGCACCACAGACTTCAGAACAGCCCACTGGAGATCTTCTCGGCCAAGGAACAGATTTCTTTTTCAGTGGTCAGTGTCGAGCTGCTGCTCCGGGTACCTCTTCAGCAGCAGCCAGGTCCTCAGGTATGGAAATTTAACATCATTACTCTTTGGCAGGCCAACAGATGAAAACTGCTGCTTGCAAGTGCTTAGAAAAATGTCTACCATGGTTGATCAGTACAGCTAAGACATGTTGCTCTCTAGTAAGAATCTGCATAGAATAGGCATTTTTACTGCATGGGGAGAAACTGCTGTATGTCCAGGTATTTTTGTTACATTGCCCATTTGCTATTAGCTTTAAACCATGTTAACAGAGAAGTGTCAAATTTTTAATTTAAAAGAGATTCAATATTTTTTAAAAACCCATACCTTTCACAAACAAATGCTATATGCAAGATCATGTTCTAAATCCACATGTAAATAACTCCTCTAGTTGGGGCATAGAATTGTAATAACTGCTGTCTTTCACTATACATTAAGTGATAGCTTTAGCTGTGTAACAGAGCTGTGCTGGTTAGGTGATGTGCAGAAACAAACTTTGTAGCTCTGGGAGTGTTCTAAGGCAGTCATGCTTATTATGGGTTGTGCTGCTGGGTGCAAGGGGAGTCTCTCCTCCAAACTTGCACACCAAGGGAACAGACAGTGAGGATTATATAGGGTAAAATCATGCATATTCATTAGGTTTCACAAGAATAGGTGGGAACATTAGAATTGTTATATTACCAATATATATTATATTACCAGTCCTGCTCCAGATCTTTGGCCAATTGATTCCCAAAGAGAGCTGGGCTGTTTTTGAACCCCTGGGGTAGCACTGTCCATGTAAGCTGTGTCTTCCATCCTGATTGTGGGTTTTGCCACGCAAAGGCAAACAAAGGCTGGCTTTCTGGGCTCAAAGGTAGGCAGAAGAAAGCATCCTTTAGATCCAGTACAGTAAACCAAGCCAATTTGGAGTTTAATTTGGTCAGTAAAGTATACAGATTTGCCACTACAGGATATTAAGTCCCCAGTTATTTTGTTGATAGCTCTGAGATCTTGGACTATCCTATAACTTTGTCTGGCTTTTTAATTGGCAGAATGGAAGTGTTGTACTCTGACTCACATTCTGTCAATAGCCCATTCTCAATGAAATTTTCAATAACTGGTCAAATTCCCTCTGTCTTCCATTCTCAGGGGATACTGTTTAATCCTAGCTGGTCTTGTTCCTGGTTTTACCTTTACCACTATCAGCAGTGTAGTTCTGGCCTTTCCTGGCACTTCTGAAACTCATGCTCCTGGATATACTTGATTTTGTGTCTCCTCAGGTATTCTGGCTTTAACTGGGGTGTCTATGAAGGCTAAACTTAGGATTTCTATTAATTGTTTGTTCCTTACATTACAACTCTATTTTTCGTTTCCTAAACTATATTTCTGCTTCAAATTTTTCTAGGAAATCTCGTCCCAATAAGGGTTTCCGTGAATTTGGCATGCATAAGAATTTATGTACTTCCAATTGTTTTCCCAGTTCAAAGTTAAGATGTTTCAGGAAGTATGACCTTTTGCTCTGGCCAGTAGCTTCCTTTACTGTTACAAAATCATTGTCCACAGGTGTCAAAGCTTGATTCAAAACCAAAAAAAGTTGCTCCCGTGTCCACCAAGAATTCTAACTCTTGTTGTAATTTCTCTGGCTCTAATATAACCAGTGGATCCGCTAGGGTAGATTCCCCAGGTCCCTGTCAATCTTCTTTGACATGAGCTTGTACCCTGCTTCTTCCTTTTTGTCTCTGGGCACTCGGTTCTGCCAATGTCCTTGTCGTTTACAGCAGGCACACTGGTTTCTGCCCAGGGGCCTTCCTTGTCCACCTTGTCTCAGTTCTCTGCCTTCTGGTAGTGCAGCTATCAGTATCCTCCTATCTTTCCTCTTGTCCTACTCTCTGTCGATTTCAACTTTTGCATCTTCCTTTGAATATCACTTGCTGATTACCCTATAAACAAAGACACTAACTGTTGAATTCCCACTTATGACCCCAGGTCCAGGGGAGTGTGGTTTCCCATAGTATCTCGTAATTTGTCAAGGAATTGGGTAGGGGTTTCCTTCGGTCGCTGCCGGATAGCATATATCGCTGACCAATTGATGGTTTTCGGAATTGTGCTTTCTATTCCTTTTATTACCCAATTTCTGTAGGCAACCAGTGCCCTTGTGGGGACTGATCGATTTGGATCCCAGTGTGGATCTTGAAGGGGAAAATGATCTTTTACATCCTCCCCCTTTCCTCTAATTTGATCCTCAGCTATGTCCTGAGTAGTTTTCAAAGCTAATTGTTTCTGTTTCTGTCAGTCTGTTAACAACAGTATATCATTCCAATTAGGGTTGTGCTGTTTAACTAGAAACTTGAAATGCCTGGACACTCCCACAGGATCATTCCAGTAGTTGTGAGCCACACTTTTCCAGGTTTCCAGGTCAAAGGAAGAAAACAGCACTTTAGTCAGGACTGGCTCGCCACTGGGTCCTGCTGCCTCCCTCAGAGGTGCCTGTGCTGTCATTCCATCCCTTTTAGTTCTAGGACGACAACTAAAAATCCCATCTCCTTCCAGTATGTTAAAATACACCCTAAAGGGCTTGCTTTTACAACCTCCTTACTCTATTTAGTCCCCATTGCATGTATTGACACAAAACGTGTTCAAAGTTTGGGTTAGGGTTAGTAGAGTTGAATTTCCACGCTCTGGCAATAAAGATGCCGCTCTGATTTACTTCCTGGGATTGCCCCTTTGAACACCGGGCCATTGTAGTGGTTTGCAGCATCTGCACTGGGTACACAGAGAAGGGGGAGGCTTCCCCTGAGTCAGTTGCTACCTCTCTCTTGTATTTTGTTCGCTTTGTGCGTCTCCGGCCGTGCCCCTCGCGGGGAAGCGGAGCGGCGGATCAGAACTCCACACTCACTTTGCAGCTGAGCTACTATCAGTCGCTGTTATTCACACGTGCACTCGCTGCCATACATTAAATGTTAATTACAGTTATAACCCTTGTTGATGCTTAGGTTGACCAATGCTGCACTCAGTTTATACTACACATGGTACCAGGCACTTGCCATTTATCTTAAGGTTGTCTATCATAATTATATGAAAGGATCCAAGTTACTGTGAGGACAAGGATAACGACAGTTGCTTCCCCTCCCTCCCCCCCCCAAATTCTGGGGATTCTGGGGATCCCAGGGACTCAAGCCCTTACTGCCCCTACTACCTAGGGCCCTACCACCCAGGGGAGAGCTTTCGCTCTTTCACCTTGTGTAGGACATCTCCTCACGACTTACAGGTCCCCCTCAAGCCCACTTACCTGGTCTGCTGATGGTCCTTGTCTGCTCCTGCAGTGATCGGGCAAGGGAGGCAGTTCTTCCCAGAGAAGTCCTCAAGGCATTAGGTTTTGCAAGAATAGGTGGGAACATTATAATTATTTCCGAAACTCATTATCATAAGTGTCCACCCACTCGTGCACGCACATTGCTTCCTGGTGGCTGTGGGCCGGGGTCTTCAGGATAAAGGCTCCGAGTCTTCCTCAGGGTTGAACTCTTTTCCTTTGTTCTGAGAGCATGCAAAGCATCCATTGTTTTTGCAAGAATAAGCTGTTGTAACCAAATAGTTCCTGTCAACCTTGAAAGACGCCCATCTTATCAAGAAGTTTCAGTCCCTCCTGTCTGCCTGTTCAGCATTAATCACACAGTTTGCCAGGGTTTTAACAACACATGAGCAGTTTATCTTGCATCTTGCCCAATTTTTGGGGCTTAGTGCGTAAACGAGTAGTTGTTCATCACACATTCTACACCAGTATGTGACCTAACTGACATTTGTGGAGGACAAGCATGTAAGCGTGAGGCTTGACTATAGCTGAGAGTATTAATTGCTTATTTCATAGGTCAGATGGCTGTGTGGAATTGTTGAGTGCTAATCACAGAAGACTGCTGGGCCAGTGAAAATCTTGTAGATTACTGTTAAAACCAATGTAATGGTACTGCTAGAAGGAGTTTTCTTGCTGTTTTTACTGGTGTTGTTGGCAGGTCTGTATCCTGAAAGAGAATGTTACACACTGCCACCTGTTTGGTAAAACCAGGTGGTTTAGTTCAGAGGTTCTGTTCCTCTGAGCAATGGATAGTGAGCTCTATGTCACATGACCAGCCTTTTGGGAATAGCAGTTCTCTCCCTGAAGTTAACAGTAAGATTTTTGGGAACATTAGCCAAATACTCTGGGAAACTGCTTAGCTTATTCGCACAAAGATAATTTGGAGTAAAAGCTTTAAGTGGTTTTTTAAATGCATTTAGGTGATTTGAAGTATCTTTCTTTTGAAGCAGTTCAGGAACTTTGTTACTGCAGTCAATGGAGAAATCAATTTACCTTTACATAGGCAGAAGTCTGTAAAAGAGAAGCTTTATTACTTTACCTTAATTTAACTATGCCTGTTTTATATCTATTCCATAAAGCACCTGGGCAGTAGTAATGTATGTGTCATGTTCTACCTTCAAAATGACGAAGAGAAATGTAATGGCAGAAGTGAGAGTATTTGGCCACTGCTGTATTTCAGCTGCACATTAAACTTGTACTTGAGGTTTTGTGTATGTGCAATGCTGTAGAAAGGCAGTTTGAGGACAGTCTAGGGTTTGTTTTTTGAAGCATTCCTGAGTCCTCTGCAATGTGGTCATTACCTCAGGATATGCTAGAGCACTATGGCAGGTTTATTCCTTCTCTTCAGCTTCTGAGTGAACCTGGCAGAAGTCCTTGGGCTCTTGAGAATTTTGACCCTAGAGGGCAGCAGAACCGGGAGGATCTCCAGGCGTGATTCCAGCCGGCTGTCACGTGCTACCCCATGCTGACTATAAATACTCTTCCAATTAGTTTTTTCTTCGTTGTGATCAGGAGAGACCTGTTGAAAGCCTTGCTTCTCTTGGCTTGCATTCTTGAGTTGACGTGCTTTCTGCCCCAGCATCACCAATGCCTTCAAGTCAAAATGGTAGTATGAATGTTTTACTCGATATGCTTTTTAGTAGCTTAGTAACCTGTTTTGCTTGAATTCTTTGGACTTTTGGCATTATAGAGTATTTTCCAAAGGTAATCCTTTTATTTGTTTTCAGATGATCACTCAAATTTAAGTTGCATTTTATGTAGATGAAATAAGGAATGTCATTAAGTGTGTGCAGCCTTGCTGAGGATTTGTTTGAAGATGTAGCTGTTAATACTGTGTATGGCTGAAATACTGCTCCTACCAAAGTGAAAGTACAGATGTCTGGAGGAAGGGACAGATAGTGACTCTTCGGCACAAAAAATTATCAGAATGCTGCTGCAGTTACCAATGTGAACTTGAATCTGTGTCCCCAGAAGAGGAAGGCTTTTCAACTTTTTTTTTTAAACCTAAAATTTTCATAAAATAATTTTGCTTTGTACTTCTTTTTCAGCCGATCCTTTTGACCCATTCACCATGTCATCAAGTTCAGAAAATCAAGCCCTGTCGGGTCCAGACCTCTTTGGGGACTTTCTTAATCCAAGTTCAACATCTACAGCTAGTACAGTTCCTTCCACACACAGTTCACTTCCACCTTCTTCCAGCTCAGATTTGTTAAATTTAGGTAAGTATGCTTTTGGTGTGCTGTTTCTCCACAGTTTCTGCTGCTCTGTGCATTTGTCTTTCAGCTTAGTCAAGGTAGATTAGTGTCTTGATAGATCCATTTGTGACTGCTGTTTTAATTAGCTTGTGTTCTGGGAACACAGATATAGATGCAGCCAGTAGCAAAGGTTTCCTGTACAATGGCATATTAGTATATATGATGCAAGAGGATTTCTAGCATTGTTAACCCTCTGTTAGGAGCTGGAGTTTTCTCTAAGATCTCTCAGAACTTAGGGTACACAAACATCTGCAGACTTACTTCCTAGATGGCAGAATGCTGTTTTGATTGTATTCAGGTTTTAAAGATTGTCTGCAAGACTTGGAAAAGAAATTAGCAAGTCACGTTATAGTATAGCCAGTTCTTAAAATGCAAGCTGAGGCTAGCTTGGACCTGCTTGACCTGAATGCATTCTGGTAATATACTTAGAGTACATTATGTAATACTTTAATCTTATTTGTTTCATTTGATTTCTCTGATGTATTCTTAGTGAAAAATTCTTGTATTCTTTTACTCATACATTTATGTTAAAACTCTATTCATCTTATAAAAAAAAAAAAACTTTGTGATGTGTTTGGTCTTCCCCTATCTCCATCCTAAGCATCTTATTTCCAACTGTTACTACATTTGGCTGTAATGCTTTTACTATGAATGAGTAAATGTGAGTGAAAGGACATGATAACTAGTAACTGGAGAAGGAAGGTGAAATGAAAGCATGTTCTCAAAAGACATATTTGGAAGAACTGTGCTAAGTGAGCTGGAGAAAGTGCAAACATGAGATCATGAAAGTGAGAAATAATTTTAAACTCACAAAAATAAATTGGTAGTAATGTCAGTGTTCATTCAAAATCAGCTGCAGTAATGAGATATGGTGAGTCTGTTGTGTCTAAGTGTCCAGAATTAAATTTTAGTGATAAGATTTCTTTGATAGTAAATTACTAAACCTCTATAGATACCAGGAGAAAGTCTGTTTCTGTGAACACAGATTCAAGAATGAGGATATTAAGCTGGTGTTTTTCAGTGTGGATTGAAATTTAAAATCATGGGAGTTTTAAAATGTCATTTCAATTTGTAGGAAAGGTAGTTCTTAAAAAGCATCTGGTCTGTTAAAGCATTTTTCCTGTAATATGAAAATGTTGAGCAGTTGCTGCTAAATGGCAATGTGTAACTAGGTAACTGAGTTTTCTGTGAAAAGCTGAAGTAATTTGGCAAAGAAGCTAGTAGATGGGATGACTGTTCATTTCACAACTGATTAACATCCTCTTAAGATCACACTTGCAAAAACAATGTGGAATATCAGTTTTTCCTTAGTAGGTATCTGTACAGTGAGCATTTCTGAGAACAATTCTTGGATATGCAAGAAGCAGGTTGTCTCTAAAGCAAGTTGAATGGGGAATATATTTCTCTCTGTGAGAATAAACTGATCTGATCAAAAGATAGCAGGAGATCTAGAAAGTGACCAAAGCAAAAGACTGGAAGGTGATCAGAAGAAACCTGAGTGGCTGGTGTAGCCTTCTGAGTAGAAGTCAGTTCCTGTGATGACTGTTTTCAGTGTAAGGCTTTAGACAAGGTTAAAAAAAAAAACTTTCCTCACACTAAACCAGCCTCTTGGTTCAGAGGAAATCCTGTTGTCCTCTGTGATTAAAGGATTTCCTGTAGAGATGACAAGTTACATAAAGAAAACCTAATGTGAAGTTGTGTGGAGGATGTAATAGAACACAAGTCTCTTATTTTGGGAAGCTGAGAATCTGATCTGTGATCTGATTACCACCAACTTATTCTTACATTTGCTTTGAGCAGTGTTAGCACAGAACTATGCTCTTGACCTCCTGTGGTTCGCTGCTGTACAGCTAAGGATTTACAAATGTGTGCAATAAAGAACTTCAAGGACAAGCAGCCATGGATCTGCCTGCCCGTGATCTCGATTGCTTCCACTTTTGGCATATTTAGCTGTGCTTCATGTTTCACCCTTTCTTCAGATACTCTGCTCCTTTACCCTAATCAGCTCCATTCTGCGAGGTTACAAAGATAGCACCTATGGCACATGGTTTTGTCATACCTCTTCAAAATGTACAGAACTCAGAGTATCATTTTGCCTACGCTGTTTCGTGACAATAAAATCTATAGTAACATCCAAGTTGTACAACTAGAAAGAATATAGCATTATATAAACAGTATCTTTTATTTATATAGCAACATGTAAACAGTTCTAGGAGGAACGTCATATCTGTTCAGTAAATTGTACAACGTACTCTATTGTTTCAGGTTTTTCTGATGAAAGTGTAGTGGATGTGTGAGCTTTTACTGATCATAGTGAATTTACTGCTGTACATAGCAGTAGGCTACTCCCTGTTTTTTTTCAGGCTGGGGGAGGTCATGAGCTCGTCTTCTCTTAAATCAGCAGTTATAAAACACCTGAGTCCTGTAGTGTGTTCTCATCTTTCAGATGCATTCAGCTGTAGTTTATCATTTCTCTCAGCTTGGGTTCTATCATATTTCTTTAAGTGGTAATTCATGCCCTTGTGAAAAGCCTTGTAATAGCAGAGATCGTAAGCCAAAATTATTTTTATCTTTACAATTAATACTGATGTTAGGTCAAGACCCACTTAATGTTTGGGAGTGCCATATGCTACAGCAAATTTCTAAACTGATGAACAGACACTTTTGGACACTTAGTTTATAGCCATTGACACCACTGTGTAATGGACAGCAGGGGTCCTGATTTCTGAGGCTAGTACATACTGTTTCTCCCATGGTTTGAGAGGCAGGAAGATGAGGCTTAAGTCTGGAGAAAAGGACTGAACATTTTCTCATGCCTTCAGAAGACTTTGGCAGCCACTTCATGCATCTTATTCTGGTGTTTTCCTTTGCATGCTGCAAAGATGACTCTGCTGTGGTACAGACTCTTGGCAGACATTTTTTTGCAGAGTGATGTGCTTTCTTTGCAACTGCAAGATTTAAGTATAAATAGAATTAGCGGACTGAGGTGGTGAAGGGGGTATTTGCTTCAAATTATTTCCTCAAATAAGATAAAATAGCATCTGTGATTTACTATCAATATTCAGACAAATAAAGTTAAGAAGTTGAGAAGTGAAAAGCCATGATGCGGTAGTCAAAGACTCCAAAGCATCAAAATGTATGCTTGTAAGGATGGCAGGATTAAATTTCCAAGGTCTAGGTAAATATCTTAGAACACCACTAAACATATTGGTTTTGCATTCTGAATTGCTCTCATTCTGAAGGTGGCTCACCTCATGCTGTGTGTCAGTGAGAAAGGGGGGCAGCATTTAAAAGCATCGAGGTGGACAGTTAGAACCCTTGTTGGATGTTACCTCCATCAGAAGTTCGTGGAAGCACCCTTGCATCATTTTGAATGCAGTGGTTTCATTGTCTGTTTTCACCTGGCGTGGTGGTTTTGCTTTGCATGTAGAAAAGCACCTTTTACCCATGGAGCTTCTCAGCCTTTTCCCAGAAGAGATCATTCTTCCTGTGTCCTCGTCTCTAATTATATGCGTTCACTCCAGTATTGACCTTAAGAGGGCTGTTAGTTTGTCAGGAGCTCTCTTAGTCATATGAGGCCTGGGGAAGGCAAACCTGCAGTTGGAAGTGACCTGGCTCTTCCTGTGTGGTACCCAGGCTGATGGTGATATGGAAAGCCATGTCACAAAGCACTGCTGCTTCCTGGTTACCTGCTGCGTTGTCTGGATCAGCAGCGAGTCCTAAAGCCATCCCTTAGCTAGTCCATTTTCCCAGGAGACCTGAACTGTTACGTCAGTAGAGTTGCCTCTGCACAAAAGTATCTTCTCTGAAGTGCATGGGATGTTTCAAGTACAAGTGAAAGAATTCTGATGGTAAAACCCTCCTGAGTCCTGCTTAAGACTGTGTGATTGTTAGGGAGAAATTTATGAAAGCCATGTAGTTGCCCATTGTAGCTGACAGTGTATATACCACTGTTCTGTGGTATAGACAAAATACCCATTATTGTGGTGGTTCTCTTAAAAGAATAATCAAAAGATTTCTTTTTTTCTTCTGTAGGGAATTTGACACCAGAGCCAGCTAAAATACTGTCTTCTACAAGCCAGCCAGACCTCTTAGGTGGATGGGATTCTTGGGCAGATTCCTCAGTAACCAGTAATGTAGCATCACCACAGTTGAAGCCTCTTTTTGAAGGTAATAAAAAAATTAAATCCTTCCACTAGAGAGAACAAGGAGTACTACAGACTTGGTCAGTTTAATCACCTGAAAACTGCTGAATGTGTCTTCATGCCTTATTACTTTGTTGCTTGAAGGACTCCATGCTCTTGTGCTTAAATGCCCCATTAGTAAGGGACTCATGGAAAACTACACAAGTTCAAGACAGAGGAACCCAGTAATTTCTGCTTTTTATACTAACGGTGATTCTTGTCATGTTAAAAGATGTCATGGAGCAGAATGATGGGGAGGTTTACACAAAGTGTTGTGGAAATAATACTTCTATTAGTTCTCTCAATTTCCAAATAGACCAAGTACATAACATGTTTACTTATTACACAGGTCAAGCTTTTACCACGGGCAGCCAGTCCAGTGTGTCTCCAGGTCTGTCTTTCAGCCAGGCTAAGTCTCAGAACTTTGATCCTTTTGCTGATCTTGCCAATCTTGGATCTGGTCTTCCAGGTAAGATTTTACTTTTAACAGACAATACTTAATGCCTCTACAGTTTTATTTCCTTCTTGTACCAAAAAAATATAACTGATAGCTTTTAGAAAGGAAAGCACTTCCTTTTAGTTGTTAACAACCAGATTGAGGCAGTGGCTGGGAGCAAACAAATAAAAAGGAAAGACTGAATCTTTACAGGGAATGTGTGAAAGATCCAGAATAGCATTTCAGAAGGTAACCACAGCTGTGAATTAGAAGCAGTATAAATAATGCTTCAGAGCCTAGTTGAGAAGGTAGGAGAGATCAGAGCTTGCTGATCAGTAGCTAGGCATGAAATTTCGTATTTATCATTGATTGATCCGGTGCTGTGATTCATATAAAATGAAAGCTGGACTAAATGTTAGATCCAAAGTGACAGTAGTTTTGCTTTAAAATCAATACTTCTTTTTTAATTCAGTAGGCCTTTCTAGCTCCACTACTCAAATCTGTCCTGTTTGTAAGATGAGCACAAATCAAGCCCATAGTTACACACCAGTAGCATGAGCATCATGAACATGTGTCAGGTTGCAGTGCTATGCACAGAAAGTTATGGAAGATGAGACACATCACAGTAACACTTGTCGCAGGATGTTATATTCACACCGGACTCGTGAATTAGCCCTACAGCATTCTCAAACAGCAGAAAAACTAAGAGCAATAAGAAGAGCTGAGGTCCTTGTATTTCAGGACCGTGCAGCCATAGCAAGTAGCTGATTTGTAGCTGTTACATGTGACTAGTTGCCAAGAGTCCAAGGAACGATTTGGAACAGCAGCCTGTAGTTGCTGAGTTGCAGAAATGTACTTTTCCTGGAGCTTGGAGCTGAGAGAGGTTTTATCCCATTGCCTTGGCAGTTAGCATTGTGTATTGGATTGAGTGGCCTGTTGGTGAAATTGTCTCATATAAGCACAAGGTAACACACAATGTTTGACTTCTTTATGTTGCCTTTGCATGATTACTTCCGAAATTATAGTGTTGAAGCAGTACCAGTGAGGTGGCTCTGCTCTAAAAAATTTACAAAAAATTTCCTAGGTTAATAATTCAGTTTAATACAGACTTGTTAAATCCATAAATAGTGTGACAGAAAAAAAAAATCAGTTTATCTTTGACTTGGAGATGCAGGCATAGCACACACTGAACCAGTGGAAGAAATTGTACTGATTTTCGTAGGGTTTCGATCAATTAATTACTCTCAGTTAACTTTCAGTAGGAAAAGCGACTCAGCCTGGTGGCTGAGCTAAAGGA